ATTTTATTAATCTAATTAGTCTCTGAACACTTCCCTTTCTGGTCCTCTAGCTAGAAAAGAAAGCGGGCTTTAGTTTCCTTGCTGTGCTGTGCACTCCCTGCGACTGTCTTAAGACTAAGAAAGAGGCAAGAAGATAAGCAGTGAAAACAGCAATGGGATCTTCCCTTGCTCTGGGGATCAGAGTTCTCTGAGTTGTAGGTGCCTGCCTGGCTTCCACAGGACTTGCCTTTGGACTGTGTGGGAGAGACTGGGAAAACAAAAGCAAAGGACATCTGGGATTTTCCTCACTCTCTATGACCTATAGAGGCCCCTTTTCCTGCCCCTCAGACCATAATAGAGGATACTTCTTGGAGTTCTATCTACCACAGCTGGCTCACAGTTCTGAGTTTCAGCTTGTTTTGGGGTCCAGACTAGGAGATACCAGAGGAAAAACAAAACTGGAAATGCAGTGATGGTTCAGTGGTACTGTGAGTTCTGGTTTCCTTCCCCAACCTCCCTGTTACCATTTGCCTTCTAGAATCTTCAGATAGCTGTTCCATGCATTCTGTCCAGAGTTTTTGCCTGTATTAAATGGGAACTACAGAGTAAAGTGCTTTTTATCTTCACCAGAACCCAGTAATATCAGTGTCATTATGATTTCTTTTTTTTCTTATCTGAGAGTTTGAACATCTTTTCATATTTTGGAGCTGTTTTTATAATACTTTGGAGGATTAAGTTTTACCCTTCCCTCCTAACTTAAAATTTTGATCTGTTAGGTTCTCAGATATGTGTTGCAAATATTTTCTCCGTTTGTCCATTGTCTTTTGATGTTGTTTATAATTTGAAAGCCATGCAGAAGTTTTTTTGTTGTTGTTAAGAAGTCAAACTTACGATCTTTATTTTATCGCATCTGGATTTTGAATCACAGATAGACAGCCTCCCCTTTCACCTAAGTTAAAGAAGAATTCGCTCATGTTTGCCTCGCCTCTGGAGCCTGTATAGTTTACAGTTAGCTCTCTAATCTTGTATATAGTATGGACCAAAAAGGGGCCACATACTAAACTTGACAAGCTTAGGGGATGCCCATCCTGCAGGCCTTGCAAACCCAAAGATCAAAAGTGGTCTGAACATAAAAATTCCTAACTAACCCTGGCCGGTTTAGCTAAGTGGTGAGAGCGTTAGCCTGTGGACCAGAGGCCTGGGTTTGGTTCAAGGCCCAGGTTCGGTTCCCGCTAAGGGCACATACCTCGGTTGCAGTTTGTCCCTGGCCCCAGATGGGGTCATGTGGATGGCAACCACTCGATGCATCTCTCTCACATGGATGTTTCTCTCTCTCTCTCTCTTCCTTCCTCTCTCCCTGTCACTCTATCTCAAGATAAATGCAAAAATATCCTCAGGTGAGGAGGAAAAAAAGAAAGAAAAAAATTTCCTAACTAAAAGCAGGTCGTGGTGGGTAGTCACATCATAGGCGTGTAGATTCCTAACAAAGGACAATCTTTAACTTTGAAATTTTCCATTGTCTTTGTGCATCTAAGATGAAATACCTTTAAAATGTCAGAGTAATATTTTTGAGACCCCTGGAAGGTACAACTTCTGGCACCAAAGCAGACTCCATTGTTACCTTGTTGCCCACATACCATCTCTACGTGCTGTAAATCTTCATTGTTAACTATCCTGTTCCCACCAATGTAAAATAAGTATGTCTCCACATTTTATCTAATCTCAGAAATTTTCCTGCTTTGCTGTCTCTCACCTTCCTTATCTACCACCAGTGAACTTCATGTAACCCTCCTCACATTTCCTCCTTTGATTCTAGTGTATAAAATAAGCTGCAAAACTGCCATTATCTGCATTATTTTCTCAATCCATTGAGATTATGCTTCCCAGCAATTGTCATCAGTTTGGCTCAAACTCTTTTTTTATCCTCACTCGAGGACATTTTTCCATTTTTTGTTCAGGTAGAGTGGGAGGGAGAGAGAGGAAGAGAGAGAGAGAGAGAGAAAGACCGACGTGAAAGGGACACATCTAGTCGTTGCCTCCGCACGACACAACCGGGGCTGGAGACAAACTGCAACCGAGGTACATGCCCTTAGTAGGAACCGAACCTGGGTCTCTCTGGACCTTCGGCCGACACTCTAATCACTGAACCAAAGGGCCAGGACTGGCTCAAACTCATATAAGACTTTTTCTTAGGCTGGATGTTCTTTCAACAATGGTCTGAGACGTGGATCCAACCTTATCTTTTTCAAAAGTGTCTCAGAAGTCTCACAATTTTCTCAAGTGTGGCAGTTCACTAAAAGTATTCACAAGACTCAATTGCAAGTTGTACTCAAGGCTAAGGTTTAGCCCTGGCCTGTTTGGCTCAGCGGTTAGAGCGTCGGCCTGCGGTCCGGAGAGACCCGGGTTCGGTTCCCGCTAAGGGCACGTACTAAGGTTGCAGTTTGTCCCCGGCCCTGGTTGGTCGTGCGGGTGGCAGCCACTCGATGTGTCCCTTCACGTCGATGTTTCTCTCTCTCTCTCCCTTCCTCTCTCTCCCTCCCACTCTATCTGTACAAAAAATGGAAAAATATCCTCGGGTGAGGATAAAAAAAAAAAAAAAAAAAAAAAAAGGCTAAGGTTTATTACAGCCTAGGAAAAAGATGTACATTGGGGGAGCCCAGAGAGGCCAAACAGGCACTGCATCTTCCTCCCTCCCTCCCTCCCTCCCTCCCTTCCTCCCTCCCTCCTTTCCTTCCTTCCTTCCTTCCTTCCTTCCTTCCTTCCTTCCTTCCTTCCTTCCTTCCTTCTCTCTCTTTCTTCTTATTCTTTCCTCACCAGAGAATATTTTCCCATTTATTTTCAGACAGAGTCGGAGGGAGAAAGAGAAACATCGATGTGAGAGAGACACATCGATTAGTTGCCTCCCGCACCACCTGACCAGGTCTGTGGCAAACTGCAACAGAGGTACGTGCCCTTGACTGGCATAGAACCTGCAACTCATTGATCCACAGGCCAACACTCTAACTGCTGAGCCAAACTGGCCAGGGAGTGCATCTTTCTTATCTACACAGGTCATGCTTTTTCTCTAGCATCAAACTACAGAGATATATGTGGTATGTCTCTGCCCAGAGAATCTTGTTTGAGTTTTAGGATCTGAGTCTTTGGTGTGGGGAGGGGGATGCTGGTCATATGAGAGTCATATTCTGCTACACAGCCAACCATGGCAACCTAAACTCAGGTCCCCAACAATGAAATCAGGTGCATGCAAATCATTAGTCTTGATGTTTGTGCAAACCAATTTGACAAGCTGGGACAGCATGGTTCATTGCTCCATGTGTACACAGCAAAATCATCAATCGCATAAAAAAAAAATAACACTCTGAGGGCCATATTCCCAGGGGTTGACCAAGGGTCAATCATGGTTCTTTGTTTTCTTGAAGACAGGCAGAAGAAAGCAACCAGACCTGCTATTTTAACTCTTTTCTCACAAAATGACTAACCGATATTCCTAAGCACCTTTATGAAAAAGACTATCTTTGTCTCAGTGATTGTAGATGCCACTGAAGTGGCATTATTTACTAAATATGTAGTTGTTTCTACATATTGTTTCTATATGTAGTTGTTTCTATTTCTGGATTTTCTATTCTGTTTCTGGTTTTTCTGTTTATTCATACAGCAGTACACATAATGTTTTCATTTAAAAGGCTTTATAGTATGTTTAATGTTTATAGAATTTGTCCATCCCTGTAGATTTTCTTTTCCTGGCTAGTCTTCTTTTGTTGTTGTTAATCCTCACCTGAGGATATTTGTTCTATTGAATTTTTTTTATAGAGAGAGAGCAGAAGGGAGGGAGGGAGGGACAGGGAGAGAGAGAGAGAAACCTTGACGTGAGAGAGAGACATTGATTAGTTGTTTCCCGCACGTACCCTGACTGGGAATGGGGATTGAACCTGGAACCCAGCTATGTGGCCTTGACTAGGAATCAAAATCGCAACCCTTCAGTCCATGGGCTGATGCTGTAACCACTGAACCACTCTGGCCAGAGCAACCCTTCTACCTTTCGTCTCTGAAAATTGGACTTCTCTGGAGTAATGGAGTCATACATCTTAGTGGAGTCATTCAATATTTGTCCTTTTGTGACTGGCTTATATCACTTAGCATAATGTCCTCAAGATTCACCCATGTTTTAGCATGTAGCATGTTGAAGCAGTGTTTTAAAAGCATTCCTTCTGAGGGTTGGCTCCACTTGCTGTTGGGGAGCATGTGGGAAGATTTTCTTTTTCTTTCTTTGCTTTTTTAAAAGTCCACCCATGTTTGCTTGGGCCTGGTCACAGGGTTCTTCTTGTGAGAGGTGCACCACCCTCTCCCAAGAGTGAGTGGAAGGCATAGGGACTAGGTGGTGTTGCAGGCTGGAGCTGCAGTGGAAGTCAGAGTGGGAATGGTGGGGCAGCTGCTGGGCGAGGAGAGGATTAACAAAAAATAAAAATAAAAATAAACTCTTTGGTGAGTTATTTATTTATAAACAGAGTACCAGGAAATTATTCCAAGTCTCAAGGAGCATTTATGAACTGCTTGATTTCCCAACTGATTCCACCGTATTGGTCATGGATCTGCTTTAAAATATTTTTTCTTTATTGATTTTAGAGACAGAGGAAGAGAGAGGGAGAGAGAGAAACATCAATGAGAGAGAACATCGATTGGCTGCCTCCTGCACGCCCCCAACTGGGGGTTGGGCCCACAATCTGGGCATGTGCCCTAACTAGGGATGAACCAGTGACCTCTTGGTGCATAGGTCAACCGGTGAGCCACAGTGGCTGGGCTGGTCATGGATCTGCTTTAAAATTGTGGCTCCCGTGAGTAACTTGACTCAGGGGGCTTCACCTGCCCGCCTGCATGCCATCCGCTGCCTAGCACCGCATGTTGTAGGCCTCTGCCGGCAGCAGATGCCTTCCAACGGCCCTAGCTGCGCAGGCCCGGACGCCTCCTCCCCCTCTGCCCCCGCCATGGAAAGTTAAGTTTGAAGAGAGGGGGGAGAGGGAAACATGAAAATGAAGAGGAGGATCCACCTGGAGCTGAGGAATCGGACCCCAGCAGCTGTTCAAGAACTTGTCCTGGACATTGCAAATCAAATAATGGAAAAATTGAGGGCTTAATAACTGAATTTGTGAACTTAGAGTTCCTCAGTTTAATAAATGTAGGCTTGATTTCTGTTTCAAATTTCCCCAAACTGCCAAAATTGAAAAAGCTTGAGCTCAGTGACACTAGAATCTATGCATGTTTGGACGTGTTGGCAGAAAAACTTCCAAATCTCAAACATCTAAATTTAAGTGGAAATAAACTGAAAAATATCAGCACCTTGGAACCTTTGAAAAAGTTGGAATGTCTGAAAAGCTTGGATCTTTTTAACTGTGAAGTTACTAACCTGAATGACTACCGAGAGAGTGTCTTCAAGCTCTTGCCCCAGCTGACCTACCTGGATGGCTATGACCAAGAGGATGGAGAAGCTCCTGACTCAGATGCTGAGGTGGATGGTGTGGATGAAGAAGAGCATGATGAAGAAGGAGAAGATGAAGAGGATGAGGAGGATGAGAATAGTGAGGAAGAAGAGTTTGAAGACAAAGAGGATGACGATGAAGATGAAGACGCAGAAGAGGATGAAGATGACCTTAGTGCAGAGGAAGAAGAATTTAGACATGATGGAGAAGTTGATGAAGATGAAGATGATGACGATGACGATGACGATGAGGATGAAGAGGAGGAAGAAAACGGGAAAGGTGAAAAGAGGAAGAGAGAAACAGATGATGAAGGAGAAGATAATTAAGACCCCAAATAACCTGCAAAAAAAGAACTGTTCAGTATTGGTTGGACTGCTCATATGGATTTGGTAGCTGTTTTGGAAAAAAAAAAAAAAGGTAGCTGTGATACAAACCCCAGGATACCCACCCACCGAAAGAGCCAAAAAATAGTTCCTGTGACATTCTGCCTTCCTCCATTTAGTCCCTTTTGGAAATTCACCACCAAGCTTGGGGACTGCACCCCAACAAAATTGTAAGCGTTGTTAGGTTTTCTTGTAAGACTCTTGCTGTAGTGTGTGGATAGTTGTTATTGGTGAGTCAACCGTCTGTGGCTACCACTTACACCAAGATTGTAACAGCATTTTTACTTTCTGTACAACAAAGAAGCTTTGTGAATAAAATCTTAACATTTAAAAAAAAAAAAAAGGCCCTGGCCAGTTTGGCTCAGCGGTTGAGCGTTGGCCTGCAGACCAGAGAGTCCCAGGTTCAGTTCCCACTAGGGGCATGTACCACAAAAAAAAAAAAAAAGTAATTAGTAGAAGAAATAGGAAGAAAAATATAACCAAACTAAACAAAAATGGCAATAAATAAGTACATATCAATAATCACCTTAAATGTAAATGGATTGAATGCTCCGATAAAAAGACACAGAGTAGCTGATTGGATAAGAAAGCATGACTCATCTATATGTTGTTTACGAGAGACCCACCTCACAACAAAAGACTCACATAGGTTGAAAGTGAAGCACATAGGACATTCTCAAAGATAGACCACATGATAGGACAAAAACTAAATCTCTACAAGTTCAAGAAAATTGAAATCATATCAAGTATCTCCTCAGATCACAATGGCATGAAACTAGAAATCAATTGCAACAAAAACATGCAAAGACATTTGAACACATGGAGGCGAATTAGCATGTTATTAAACAATGAATGGGTTACCGAGGAGATCAAGGAAGAAATTAAAAACTTCCTGGAAACCAATGAACACAACAACACAAAATCTATGGGATGCAGCAAAAGCAGTTCTGAGAGGGAAGTTCATGGCACTACAGGTCTACCTCAAGAAACAAGAAAAATTTCTAATAGACTATCTAACCTCACAACTTAAAGAATTTGAAAGCAAACAAAAAGAAAACCCCAGAGCAAGTGGAAGGAAGGAAATAGTAAAGATCAGAGCAGAAATAAATGACATAGAGACCAAAAAAACAATTCAAAGATCAATGAAACAAAGAGCTGGTTTTTTGAAAAGATTGATGGACCCCTAGCTAGACTCACCAAGAAACAAAGAGAGAGAACCCAAATACACAAAATCAGAAATGAAAGAGGAGAAGTAACAACTGACACCACAGAAATACAAAAGATCATTAACGACTATAAACAATTTTATGGCAACAAATTCGACAATCTAAGCGAAATGGACAAATTTCTAGAAACACATAGTCTCTCAAAACTGGACCGGGAAGAGATAGAAAACTTGAACAGACCAATAACAACTAAGGAAATTAAAGAGGTAATCAAGACTCTCCCAGCAAACAAAAGCGCAGGCCCACATGGCTTCACAGGGGAGTTTTACTGAACATTCAAAAAAGAACTAACACCCATTCTCCTCAAACTATTTCAAAAAATTCAAGAAGAAGGAAGACTTCCAAACTCGTTTTATGAGGCCAGCATAATTCTAATTCCAAAACCAGGAGAAGAAACTATAATGAAAGAAAATTACAGACCAATATCCCTCATGGACATAGACGCCAAAATCCTGAACAAAATACTAGCCAATCAAATCCAGCAATACATCAAAAAAATTATTCACCATGACCAAGTGGGATTCATCCCAGGGACGCAAGCCTGGTACAATATTCGCAAATCAATAAATGTGATATACCACATAAATAAAATGAAGAATATAAACCACATGATCATATCAATAGATGCTGAAAAAGCATTCAACAAAATCCAGCATCCATTTCTGATAAAAACACTCAGCAATGTGGGAATAGAGGGATCATATCTTGACATAATAAAGACCATATATGAAAGAACTACGGCCAACATCATACTCAATGGGCAGAAACTAAAAGCATTTCCCTTAAGAACAGGAACAAGACAGGGATGCCCACTTTCACCACTCTTATTTAACATAGTCCTGGAAGTCTTAGCCACAGCAATCAGACATGAAGGAAAAGTAAAAGGGATCCAAATTGGAAAGGAGGAAGTAAAACTGTCATTATTTGCAGATGACACATAGAAAACCCTAAAGACTCCATCAAAAATATACTAGACTTAATAAATGAATTTGGCAAAGTAGCAGGATACAAAATTAACGTCAAGAAATCGACAGCATTCTTATACACCAATGATGAACTCACAAAAAGAGAAACTGAAAAAATAATCCCATTTACCATTGCGGCAAAAAAATTAAGATACCTAGGAATAAACTTAGCCAAAGAAGTAAAGGACCTATTTGCAGAAAACTACAGGACATTGAAAAAAGAAATAGAGGAAGATATAAAAAAGTGGAAGCACATACCTTGTTCATGGATTGGAGGAATTAACATCATTAAAATGTCTGTACTACCCAAAGCTATCTATAGATTCAATGCAATCCCCATCAAAATACCAATGATGGCCCTGGCCAGTTTGGCTCAGCGGTTAGAGCATCGGCCTGCGGTCCGGAGAGACCCGGGTTCGGTTCCCGCTAAGGGCACGTACTTCGGTTGCAGTTTGTCCTCAGCCCTGGTTGGTCGTGCGGGTGGCAGCCACTTGATGTGTCCCTTCACATCGATGTTTCTCTCTCTCTCTCTCTCCCTTCCTCTCTCTCCCTCCCACTCTATCTGTACAAAAAGTGGAAAAATATCCTCGGGTGAGGATAAAAAAAAAAAATACCAATGATGTATTTTACAGAACTAGAACAAATAGTTCAAAAGTTCATATGGAACCAAAAAAGACCTTAAATAGCCATAGCAATCTTGAAAAAGAAGGACAAAGTAGGTGGGATCACAATACCAGATATCAGGTTATACTACAAAGCCACTGTAATCAAAACAGCCTGGTACTGGCACAAGAACAGGCATATAGACCAGTGGAACAGAACAGAGAACCCAGAAATGGACCCAAGACATTATGCTCAATTAATATTTGACAAAGGAGGCAAGAGCATACAATAGAGTAAAGACAGCATCTTTAATAAATGGTGTTGGGACAATTGGACAGCTACATGCAAAAAAAAATGAAACTAGACCATCAACTTACACCATACACAAGAATAAACTCAAAATGGTTAAAAGACTTAAATGTGACCCATGAATCCATAAAAATCCTAGAAGAAACTGTAGGCAACAAAATTTTGGACATGATACGCAGCAGAATTTTTACTGATACATCACCTAAGGCAACAGAAACAAAGGAAAAAATGAACACATGGGACTACATCAAACTAAAAAGCTTCTGCACAGCAAAAGAAACAACCATCAAAATGGAAAGGCAACCCACTGTATGGGAGAGCATCATTGCCAATGATACATCAGATAAGGGGTTAATTTCCAAAATATATAGAGTACTCCTACAAGTCAACAAAAGGAAGACAAAGAATCCAATTAAAAAATGGGCAGAGGAGCTGAATAGACACCTCTCCAAACAGGACATACAAATGGTCAAGAGACACATGAAGAAATGCTCAACATCACTAACCATCAGAGAGATGCAAATTGAAACAACAATGAGGTACCACCTCGCAGCTGTCAGAGTGGCCGCCATCAACAAATCATCAAACAACTGTTGGCGAGGGTGTGGAGAAAAGGGGACTCTAGTACACTGCTGGTGGGAATGCAGACTGGTGCAGCCACTATAGAAAACAATATGGTGTTATCTCAAAAAATTAAAAATTGAACTTCCATCTGACCCAGTGATCCCACTTCTAGGAATATACCCTAAGAAGCCTGAAACACCAATCAGAAAGAATATGTGTACCCCCATGTTTATAGCAGCACTATTTACAATAGCTAAGATCTGGAAACAGCCCAAGTGTCCATCAGTAGACGAATGGATAAAAAAGTTGTGGTACATACACACAATGGAATACTATGCAGCTGTAAGAAAGAAAGATCTCTTATCCTTTGAGACGACATGGAGGGGCCTGGAGAGTATTATCCTAAGCAAAACAAACTAAGAAAAAGACAAATAACACATGATCTCACCTATTTGTGGAATATAATGAACATAACAGTCTGAGGAATAGGGTAGACCCAGAGACATGAAAGTAGGGTACAGACTGACAACCCTCAGAAGAAGGGGTGGTGGGGGGAGGAAAGAGATAAACCACAGAACTTATATGCATGTACACATAACCAATGGACATGGACAACAAAGCTGGGGATGGGGTGGGGGAGATGGGGAGGAGGGTGTCAATGGGATAAAAAAGGAGAAGCATCTGTAACAAAAATAAATAAAAATTAAAAAAATAATAAAGCTAAGAAAAAAAGGAATATTAAATAAGATTTCAAAGGGAAAAAAACAATGTGGCTCTCACCTTGACCAATTTTGCTCAGTGGTTAGAGCATTGGCCTGCAGTCCCGAGAGACCTGGGTTCAGTTCCCACTAAGGGTATGTGCCTCAGCTGTGGTTTGTCCTCGGCCCTGGTTGGGTCATGCGGGTGGCAGCTACTCGATGTGTCCCTTTAACATCGATGTTTCTCTCTCTCTTCCTCTTTTTCCCTTCCACTCTATTTGAACAAAAAAATGGAAAAATGTCCTCTGGTGAGGATTTTTAAAAAATGTGGCTCCCAAAGACCCTTTATTATTGTTATTTTTTAAACTTATCTTTATTGTTGAATGTATTACAAATGTCTCCCCTTTTTTTTCTCCTTGACCCCCTCCTCCCCACTCCCACTCCGCTCCTGCTTTCCTCACACTATTGTCTCTATTGGTTATGCATATATGCATATTAGTTCTTTGGTTTCTCTCTTCCTGCCCCACCTCCCCTCTTCCCTTTGAGGTTTGTCAGTCTAGCCCTCGCCGGTTTGGGTC